ACAAACAAACAAACAAACAAACAAACAAACAAACAAACAAATAAATAAATAAATAAATAAATAAATAAAACTGGAAGATAAAGATAGGCTACCAATGTTGATGCCAGGGGACAGTCTTTGTTTTCAGTAAATGATGTGAATTAATCTCAGCTCTGGTGTGTATGTAGTTGACATTTAAAGGCTGCGCTGCCAAAAAAAAAAAAGGTCCTCATTGTGCTCTGTAAACTAACATGAGGAGTAGAGAGAGAAAATAGGCAAACTATTTTTGCTGCTCAGTGAGTAGATCGCTATTATTATTATTGTGAGTGGGAGGCAACAAAGAGATAAATCCTCTTGGTATTCATATAAAGGCTAAAGGTGACACATGCACTTCATGAAGGGCACAGAAGAAAGAGAGAAAAAAACCTGTTTTGTTCAAATGAAACAAAAACCCTGCTCTCACTGTTAACGGTTATTGACTTCAGTTATTTTTATCCTAAATTAAACCATTTTTCAAGCATCAACTATCATCATATTGGCCTTGATAGTTTGACAAAGTAATTGGCCCACAGAAAATTGTTCAGATTTGATCTGATATTTATAACAGTTTATATTGCATTTTTCTTAACACTAATTTTTTTTATTGCCCACTGCTTAAAAGGCGAAGGCAGAGCACCCATGTGTTGGCCTATGTGTGTGCTCGTTTGTCTGTACTTTTAGCAAAATATCTCATGAATCAATTAAGTGATTTTGTTTATTTTAATTATTTTTATTTTAAACAATTGTCGAGTAGACATTTGATCGAACTTAAGAGTGTTTACTTTTCAGAAACATTATCAATGTAGCAAACCTGCAGTTAAAACAAATAAGATAATGATAAATACATAAAAAAAAGCTTTGGATAAATTGAGAGAGGATTAAAAAAACAAAACTGGCAGGATGTGTATGTTGGTGACGTAAACACAGCATATGATGTGTTTATGAATATTTTTGGGAACTCTGTATGGAAAGAATTGTGTGCAAAAAAAATTGCGCAAGGAGAGATGTTGATAARCCATGGCTGACTAAAGGTTTGAAAAATGYTTGTAAAAAAGAATCATTTGTATTCATGTTTCTTGAAATTAAGAACAAAAGAAGCAGAAGACAGACACTAGACATACAAAAATAAGTTGGTATGGATTATAAGAAAACTTAAGAAGGAATATTATAGTGACTTATTAAATAAAAGTAATGGTGATATGAAAGCAACATGGCGAGTACAGTGTTCTGAATAATCATAAAGTGAAATCAGATATTCCACAACATTTTGTAAAAGATAACAAGGAAATCCATGATCAAAGTAAAATAAATGAATTTAATCATTATTATGTAAATGTTGGTCCAAATCTTGCAAAAAAAAAAAAAGGACCAAAAGTTGATAATGACRTGAGTCATACAATCCAGGGTTGTGTCATCAGCATCTTTCTTGGAGAAACTGATGAAGAAGAAAGACTGAGTATTGTAAAAAAAATTCACAGATAAAAGGTCAAAAGAYTGGATAAACATGGATATGATGGTAGTGAAGGAGGTACTTGGTTGTGTTATTGAGCCATATTTATGCAGTTTATCATTTTCAACAGGAATTTTTCCAGATGAAATGAAATTAGCCAAGGTCATTCCTATCTMTAWGAATGGTGGAAAATATGTGTTTAACAATTACAGACCAATCTCTTTGTTGTCACAGTTTTCAAAATTTTCAGAGAAATTWTTTGTGACAAGATTGGACCAATTCAWCAACAAACAAAATATTTTAAGTAGTAGTCAATAAGGGTTCAGAGCAAAATTTTCTACAGCAATGGTTCTCATGGAATTAGTTAAGCAAATAACAACCGCTGTTGACCAAAAGCAGTATTGTGCTGGTATTTTTGTTGATTTAAAAAAAGCATTTGACACTATT